GGGTGATCATGACATGTCAATGTAAGTTCATTAATTACAACTGGTGTACCACTCCGGTGGGGATGTTGATAATGGGGGAAGCTATGCATGCGTGAGGGTGGGAGCATATGGGAAATCTCGGCACTTCCCCCTCAATTCTGCTGTGAACCTAAAACTGCACTAAAAAAATAAATCTTTTTTTAAAAAAAGTAGTTTCCCCCAACAGCCTCCAAGCCTCACACCCACAAAAATACACTGGCCCAAGAGAAGCTAATTTATAAATGGTCACTCAGGTAAGAAAAAACAGAATAAACCTAGAAACCAAATCTTCACACTCTTGGTTTGATATTCTTTCTACTTCATTAAAACTAGCCATTAAAACGTGTCTCCTTATCATTAAACCTACACACAGCATCAAGGGGGAAAAAACTATCCCATTCACAAATAATTACTGAATGCCTACTAAGTTCCTAACACCAGTCTAAGTGCCAGAATTATAACAATAAACAAGAACAACACAATCCTTGCTTTCATGGAATTTAAATTTTAATGGGGAGGAAGGGTGTTAAACAGATGATTAAATAAGGTAATACGTATAAAGCACTCAGAATAGTGACTGGTATATAGTAAGTGTTCAATAAATATTAGCTATTATTATCGATAAATGTTACCTATAATATTAGCTATAAATATTACCTCTATAAGGTAATCAGCCTTATACATACTAAAAAGCAAACTTTTTTATTCATTCAGTTCTCTAAAACTCAAGAGATTCCTTTGATGTACTAAATTACCTTATTTTTGATCAGCAGGCCATCTTTTAGAGAACTGCCCCTTCTCCCCAATCTATTTCTTGTGGGCCTATCCAGAGGTAGACAAGTCCAGTCAGATTTCCTTACAGAGGAATGTGAATCACTGGAGAGGCAGCAGGAGATGAGAGACATTCAGAAGTTCAGTTCATATGGCTGAGCTCCACACGGCCCCATCTCTGCCAGCACTACTCTGGCTCGCGTCCTCCCTGAGGCCTGGCTGTTCAGCTTGTTTTTCAATTCTATCCTTCCAGTAAGTCTCTTTTTCTTGCTTAAAACAGCCAGAATTTGTGTTGCTTACAAAGAACCCTACTTGATACAGTTAAGTAATGTAAGATCATTCTACAGTTAGATAACGTAAGATCATTCTACAAAAAAGGAGTGTTCACGACCAAATACAATTGCCAAAACTCATCAAACTCTACATTATTAAAACGAGTAAATTTTACTGTGTAAGGTATACCTCAATAAAACGGGGGGTGGGAGGAGTATTTAATTTAAAAGCATAAATAGCACATTTATAACATATTAAAAAATAAAAATTTTTATAATAAAATATTTTTAGGTTATTTTCATACATATTGATTTTATTATGCTCTATGGCTAAAAAGCTTACATAGGAAACACTTCTTAAGATAGCCCATTTTAGGGGGCAGCCCCGTGGCCTAGCGGTTAAGTGCGCACGCTCCACTGCTGGCGGCCTGGGTTTGGATTCCAAGCCCGCACTGAGGCACCACTTGTCAGGCCATGCTGTGGCGGCCTCCCATATAAAGTGGAGGAAGATAGGCACACATGTTAGCCCAGGGCCAGTCTTCTTCAGCAAAAAGAGGAAGATTGGCATGGATGTTAGCTCAGGGCTGATCTTCCTCACAAAAAAAAAAAGATGGCCCATTTTGGAGCCAGCGCTGATGGTCTAGTGGTTAAAGTTCCAAGCTCTCACCCCAGCAGCCTGGGGTTCATTTTCTGGTCACAGAACCATACCACCTGTCAGTTGCCATGCTGTGATGGCGGCTGACACAGAGAACTAGAAAGACTTACAACTAAGAGGTACAACCATGTACTCCGGCTTTGGGGAGAAGGAAAAAAAAAAAGATGGCCCATTTTAAAGTAGTCCCATTTAAAGCCAAGCTGCAGTGACTGCAGTGATTCTAGAATAAGAGAAGTATGTTAATATCTAAAAACCATGTCTTGCTCACTAGCGCAATAAAGCTCACAACATCCATAATGATCATATCTTGCTTTCAAGTTTATTGACAGCACCCTACAGTACTTTGCTTAATTATCTCTTTCGCTTATATTTCCACTCTCTATTTAGTCTTACTTTGCAAGCAGCCTATATCAGCAGGAAACTCCTTCAAATGCAAACCTCTCCAGCTCCAGGAAAGACTGAAATTAGGACGGCCACCTTGTTCATGTTTTACAAGAATTTAAGAACTGCCTTCTTACTTGGTCATACCATGCTCCATTCACTAAGCAATCTCTAGGACAGGGACTCCGAGGTACACAGGAAAGAACACAGGTGTCCTACTTGCCACCAATCTAAAAGCCTAAAGCACATGCCAAAATACCTTCAGTCACCTTAATAAATCCATATTGGATCTGTTACTCATTAGTACACCCTCATCACTTTTGAGACATCTTATATTTTAAGATTAGTAAAACAGAAGGGCAAATAATGGAAAAAGTAGACTTTGAACATCCAAGTTGCATGTGTATAAATTTATATGATAAACTCCACATATATTGCCTATCACTGTTATATTTGCAAATAAATGATTAATTTTAATTTTAAACATTACAAAACTCAAATTTTTGTTCTCACAATTTTCAGATTTAGCCACTTTATAACAGATGCCCTTTATCTAGCAACTTCCAATATTAAATTCAAAATTGTCACCTCCTTCCAGTAAAAATTCAGCCATCTGATCCCTGATCTCCCAAAAATGTAATCAAATTTATAAGTTTTAAAATTATTTCCTAAGTATCCTACTGTACAGCCTCTGGTAATCAGCCTATGTAGGTACTGCACATAGTCAGCCAGTACCAAAATCAAATTTAAACTATTCCAAGTCCACTTAAATTCAATGCTGTGTGTCTCCCAACAGTGTTCTCAAGCAAACAGAGCAGACCTGGTTCAACATAATGTTTTAACTCTCATTGCATCTTCCTCTGAGTTTAGCAAAACAAACAATATAAGTAACTCAAGTTTCAACACAGTGTGTAGAAAATCGAAAATAAAATACATCTAAATGAAAACCTTGTTTTGCAACATATTAATATTCCAGCTTCCTAGCCTCTTTTCTTCTATTTAAATTTTAATTACCTCATGAGTTTCCATTTTTACAACACGAACCCAAAATATTTACAAGATGAAAATGAGAAAAGCCCAACGTTTACCTACCCAACATTTGGCAACCCAACAATACCAGTTTTCAAGGAGGTTCCAAATCTTCCAATGATTGGGGGTGGTTTAATTCCATCACCTCCCTTTTTCGGGGGCATCTAAAATGTCAAAACAAATATACATATGAACAAAACTTTTTACTATCCCTATCGACCAAAAACACATTTCATCACACAAAATGCATTATTGAATAACAGATTATGAATAAAACATACTGTCTATATCAATCACAAAACTGACACTTTACTTTTCAACAAAAATAAAACAAAAAAGTTCTCTGAACAGATCTGATTCTGATAGTTGTCAAAGCAGCCACTCCTGAGAAGTCCTGGAAAGACTGATCTAAAAATATATGCGGCACCAGAAATCAAAAATAAATTTAAAACTTAGCTGCGAATCTTCCATCCAGACTGTTTACAAAACATTTCATTTCTTAACCTGACATGGTTATTTCAAATGAAAGCATTTGGAAGTAGGAGTACAGATAAGAGAGTCAAAGAAAATCCATTCCAGAACCACCAGCAACCAAGTCACCTCCCACCAAACCAATCCTCTTATCTGGAACCTGCTCTTTCCCATTTCCACTACAAACACCATTTTTCACATGGAGGAACACACGCCGGTATCAAGGTCTTTCCAACCAAGTCTCTTCCACCCTTGGAACTGTAGGTGCGACTCATCAGTCCTCATAAGCAACCTTCGAAATCTACAGTCTGATTATTTCTAGCCGTAAATAAATCCACAAACCCTTTTTATTTACAAGTCCAAACTTTCTCGGTCTCTGCTAATCTGGCTCCAAATTCCTCAGTGCAGAATTAATCCCACTTTACTACTGCACACCGAACTCAGGAGGACTGTTAACCTCACGTTTTATACGCTTGGCACTAAAACTGTCCCTATCTTCTGGATCCACTTGAACCTCCTGGGGCCACCCTGAGGCCATGCTCATGAAGTGATATTCCAGTCTCTGATCCCTGATCCCGAGGACCTGGGATCTCCCTTCTCGGGGTCTTAACTCACACCTGTTCCCAGCCAAACCCCAGGCCTCCAAAGCACCGCTGCACAAGGAGAGCCTCTCCAGTCCTCTGGCCTCCCACCGAGGGGTGGCCGGCAGTCCAGCCTAAGTGGGCCCCCACCCAACACGTTCTCCCTCCGCAGTGGGCGACTGGGCGTCCCGGCCTCCGGAGGCGGCTTTCCCAGAGCGTGCCGGGCTGAGGCGTGGGCCGCTCTCGGGACGCGCGGCCTAGTCAGAGCGCCTCATTCATCCAGACACCCCACGCCGCCGCTGCCCTCGCCCCAGCCCGGCCACCTGGCCCTGGCCTGACGCCGGCCTCAGAGCAAGGGGCCGGGGCGCCGAAGACGCAGCAGAGAACGCGCCCGCGGGCTCCCTGGGGGCCTCACCGTGCTTGGGGAGGGCGATGACACGGGGTCCCAGCTGCAGCGGGAGACGAGTCTTGCCGGCAGCGAGAGGCGGGGAGCAAGGCGGAGGAAGGAGGAGGGAGCGCAAGGCCAGCCCCTCCGCCGAGCGGCACGCACGACGGCGGCGGCAGCGGCGGCGGAACGGGCGGGCTGGGCGCCTGACGGCACCTGCGCGCAGGCCGCGCGCCCCGCTCCGCCCCGCCCCGCGAGCCCACCCGCCCTGTCCATTGGCCCGACCGGCCAGGAAGGCGGGAGCAGAGGGGGGGGGGGGCCGCGCGCGCGAGAGCGGGCGGGAGCTGGAGCTGGAGCCGAAGCCGAAGCCGAAGTCCGAGCTGCCGGCGCCGGTTTCTCCGAGCGCGCGTGTTCCGCGCCTCAGCGCGTGGGGCTTCTCGGCCCCGGATCTCCGCTTCCCTCCCGGTGCGCGCCCCACGTGGGCCTTACACGCTCGCTTGCCGGCCTGCAGCCTCGCACTTCACCCGCTGGACCCCGGGGCGCCCTCCCCCTGACGGACCGCCCGGAGACGGGTCACCTGAGGTCTGGCGGGCCGCCGCGCCAGCGGAGTCCTGAGGACCATGGCCCCAGCCCGTCTTGCTTTTCCTATAACTTTCTTCACTCAGTCCAGATGGTGAGAAGCTGTTAAATAAACTTTCTTAAAGGAAAAAAGAGCTAAGGGAAGCTTATGATCTAAGGATTGCTTGGTCGCCTTATCGTTTAGGCGTTTTACAGGCACCGGATCCCAGAATAGAGCCAATTTTCCCCCTTTTTCCTCTGAATAGTTAAGAGCAGGTGCCTTTGGAATTTGGGAAAGTACGTTCCAATCTGAATTCCACTAGTCATTAGCTGTGTGACCTTGGACAAAGTAAGCTCTCTGGGCTTCAATTTCCTCATGGATAAAATGAAGCTCTTGAGACCCACCTTACCAAGTTATTGTGAGGATAAAATGAGAATGTGTGTGAAGCTTGTAGCAACAGTACCCGGCATCTGTAGGAAAGGCTCGTAAATAGTAATAAAAGCTATTGTAAATATTAGGGTTTCATCCCCTCTCGCCCACACCTGACTACACCACGAGCTCCATCTGTAGAAGGAATTCTTTCATTTAGGTCCTGGCCTTCCATCAGCATTCAAGCATTTATGGCAATGAATGTAATACTTGTGCAAAAAATTGTGACACTAGAAGCTTCTTTCTGAAAGACTAGTTGCTAATAAAGGGAAGGATATGAATTGGTTGCTATCCTCATTTTACAGATGAGGAAGCAATATCAGAAAGGTTATGTAATTTGGATAGAGTCACACAACTAGTAAATGGCAGAAGCCAGATTTCAAGCCCCAATCTAATTGAGAAATCTGTTCTATTTTGGCCAAAATATTTTTCTAATAGGGACTCCTTATAAGCGGCAACTGAGCCATTATTTATAATAAAATTGCATTAAGTTTTTCCTAGCCGTATGAGAGCGATCTACTGAGGTAAGTTAAAGAGCTTTTTCTGTATATTTGGACGTTCTCAAGGACACAGGCAACTTGATTCAACTTTGGTTTTGTATTTTTTTTAGTATCATTCATAAATATGCACTATTTATATTCTGTCAGTCTAGCTCCGTTGTCACCAGAACCACATGTTTATAAAACAGGTGTCTGGGTGCACTCTAGCTATGAAACAGAGGGAAGCTAACTAGGCCACATTTTGTACCCACGATCAATATAAACTCCTATGAATAGTCCTAACAAAGTAATTCCTAAATTGCTTACTGCTGTTTTAGTAGTGAAGTTTTGTAGTTGGCTTTCACACTGCTGTTTGTGGAAACAGACAGGAACTATTACTTAAAGCGCTCAAGAATCCCACAGAGCCCACTCTGCCCAGCAACCAGCCACTCCAGTACTAATTGAAAACGTTCCCCAGTCATGGATTAGTAGAATCGTCTTTAACTTTATCACTGTCTTTTGGCCAAATCTCACTACTTCATTGTTACTATCTCTGAGATCTACCCATTCCCTTCAATTCACACTGTCAAGTCCTTGAGTCAGTTACCTGTTTCTCTAATCACAGCTCATCTTTCTTGCTTGCACTTTTGACCACCTATTGAGTGCCTTGACAAAGCAGGTCACGCAGATCTCAGGGAGCTGGGCAGAGTTTCAGGAGTGGCCAATTGCTGCTGCTAAGTTACCCAATAACAGGACTCCGTTTCCAGCTCACTGGGGGAAATGTGACTCGCTCTCAGTCCCTGGAGGTCCATTCATATTCACGAGAAAGAGCCCAGCATAAGTAAAGTTATACCGAGGGTCCAATCAGCCTTCGTCAGGTGGGTAGGGGTCACATAGTAGGAACATCCCTGTGAATGACTCTCTACTAATGAAGCATGCAGTTCTCAAAGAAGACACTAATGGGTATCTACTATTCTACGTGATAAATGAAGACTCAGTGAGACAAACAGGATATTAAAAGTTAACCCATGGTGCCGGCCCGGTGGCGCAAGCGGTTGGGTGCGCGCGCTCCGCTGCGGCGGCCCGGGGTTCGCTGGTTCGGATCCCAGGCACGCACAGACGCACTGCTTTGGCGGGCCATGCTGTGGCGGCGTCCCATATAAAGTGGAGGAGGATGGGCACGGATGTTAGCCCAGGGCCATCTTCCTCGGCAAAAAAAGAGGAGGATTGGCGGATGTTAGCACAGGGCTGATCTCCTCACAAAAAAAAAA